TGCTGAACTGTGCCACAGGCCCCATTCACTCATAGTCACAACACTTTGTAGTAACCCTCCGTTTACTGAAGAACCAATTAATACAAAAACCCAATTTCATTATATGACAAACTATGGGGGAGGCGCTTAAAGGTCAACATTGGTGATTTAGGTCTTCAAGTTACATGTGGTCAGCAGCTTCTACAGGCAAAGGTTTTCTGAAAATCTTGGGTTACTCACCAACATCTCTTGCTCTGCTTTCATGGTCTGGATAGCATGCCTCAGGATCTTTTTAGGCCACTGCTTACGCTTTGTTGACGTCTCTACTATTAGTTCATCAAACTGATCTTCAAGAATTTTAATGCTGGAACCTAAAAATGACAGACACACAAGAATACTCTTACTTTTTTTTTTTCTTTGAATATGATAAAAAGTTGTAAGGAAAAAACCAGCTTTAGATCTGAAATAAAAACTCATGCATGATTATCAACAAAGAGATAAACATATGTCTTGGACCTCCTCATTAAGGTGATACAGCAATTGGAGCACAACTTGATGTTGGCCAGTTACTTTTGAAGTAAATGAGCTGGGCAGTGGGGGAGGCAGAGAGCCATCTGGGCAAAATGTCAAGAACTTATTTCCCTATGAACTCTCAAACTATGAATAACGCCTCTCAAAGTAATGGCTATCTTTTGAGAGAACTTGTTTTTCAGCTGAACAAAAGCAATGTAAAATGCAACAAGAAAAGTGGCAAGAAGGCAAGGAAAGTCCTGACATCACATGTTTTCATCCCAAACAATAAAAGATTGAGTTATAGAAGAAAACAGGATCAACCGCTCAATCTTACAACCTAACTGTAACTGAAAGGTAGTGCATACTTCTATACTCTTCCACCTGCACATTCCTACAATTTTCTTCCCCCAGTGGAGGTTTGAAACGATGCTTTTTTATTTTTTAATTTTATTTTGCAAACTCCTTAGCATTTAAATTCACTGTCCCCGCTAACGTGGAGCACAACTTGCAAGCCATGCAACGGTTTCACCTAGCCGTAAAAGATGGATTTTGAGCGCCCTCTCTTGGTCAATCTGTTCAGAACCAGGTGACTGTAAGCCTCAGAAAGGCGAACTCAAGGTTTTTCGTTTGTGGGTTTGTTTTGCTGGTTTGTTTTAGGATCACTATGAAATCATTTAAGTATAGAGAAGAAAGACTTGAGCCACTGGTCAACATGAACACCGAAAGCATTAAGTGCCCATCACTTGGTGACTCCAACTGGATCAGAGACGAGCACATGAGTAAATTTATGTCAAATTTAAAAGCGCAATACAGTCCTTACACCTGCTTTATGCCAGCTGCGGGACGATGACAGTATCTCAGCTGGCATAGTTAGACTTGCAGAGCCAATGGATAACTTACGGAAAATAACATCTACCTGAACAAACTTTTCCTGTGAAGAAAATCTTCTTAGGAATTTTTGAACAAACTGGAATTATTTAAGTCAGCCTGAATCAGTTCAGCATTTTGCATCATGAGACCAGTGCATTTTTGACTTTGTAATCAAAAGAATTGGAGTTTTATCATTCTAGAACTACAACTGCAGAAGCTTCCTGACCGAAAAATGGTTCGAGGAGCTCTTTCTCCACAGCCAGTTCAATAGATCAGTAATTTCATCTCTCTGCAACCGTAAAAAGCATCAAGTTACAGGCAAAGAACATCTAACACTAACACAGGGGAGCAAATTAATCACACTGAAATTTTCTTTGGACACCAGACTACCAAGAATCTCCACTGCTAGTATTCAAGGGACAATTATCATAAAAATACTGTATATATTACATATATCATTATATAGCAATAATGATAAACATTTACTTAATTTGCATAGAAAATAGTAGCAACAGACATACTACTAGGGGTTCTTGACAGGAAGAGATCTTGGTCAAGGTCCCTAGTATAAAATCAGGCTCCAAGGGTTCTCAGGAGGTCTCACCTGACCCCAGTCTCCTGCTTGCAGCTGGGTCAATACCCAGTTCAAACGAGGTTGCTCAGGACCTTCATCCAGTTGGTTCCTGGAAGACTCCAGTGCTGGAGGCTACACAAGCTCTCTGGGCAATCTTTTCCAATGTTCAGTTATCCTAATAGCGAATTTTTACTTCCTTACATCAAGGCAGAATCTCCCCTTTCATGACTCTTGCCTCTGTGCACGTCATTAAACAGCCTGGGTCCACGCTTCCAGTAACCTCCTTGTAAGTACTGGAAGGCTGGCCTGGCTTCTCTGGGCTAAACAAGCCCAGTTCCTTCCACCTCAACTCACATGGAAGTGCTCCCAGTCCCCTAGCTGTCTTGGCAGCCCCTGATGAGCTCTAGTTTATCAAAAATTTCCCTGTACTGGGTGTGTGTATGTCCAAAAATGAATGTACTACTCCAGATGTGCTCTATTAAGTGCAGAGTAAAGGCAAACAATCAGTTCCTTGGACATAGAGACCATACTCCTGTTAATACAATATACTAGGCTAGTTCAGAGTTGGCCTGCCAGGAGCCCCAGGTCCTTTTGACCTGTACCTCTGCAGAGATTTAGGGCTTTACTTTTTGTCCTTGATGAATTTCATGAGAAATGTGCCTGTCCTTGAGCATATCCACTGCCCACCAGCCTGGTCGATGTCAGCTGCAAATTAGATGAAGGACCCTTTCATCTCTTCCTCAGTCACGGATAAAGACATTAAAAAGAATGGGTCCCAGAACACACACCCATTAAAAAGAATGGGTCCCAGAACACACACCCATTAAAAAGAATGGGTCCCAGAACAGACATCTGAGGAAGCCTCCTTGCAATCAGCCCTGAGGTACAAGTATGAGCTGTTAAACTCTACTCTCTGAGCTCAATGATCCAGCCAGGATTCTCCCCTACCTGGACCATACCACCACAGCTAGGATGCTCTGGAACACTGTGTCATTCAATACTGGATCAAGTCCAATGGAAGAACAGCAAGAGGATTGGCATCTGGAGTACATGATGTATGAGAAGCAGCTGAGGGAGCTGTGTTTGCTCAGCCTGGAGAAGAGAAAGCTCGGGAGACATTTAACTACTACCCTCAGCTATCTAAAGGGTGGTTTCAGAGAGGACAGAAGCAGGCTTTTCTCTGAGCTGTGCAGCAAAAGGACGAGAGACAACAGGTATGCTGCAGTAAAGGAAATACCTACAGGCCACAGGGAAGAAAATTATCACAAGCTAGGATGTCAAACACAGGAAATGACTGTCCAGAGAGGTCACAAAGCCTCAAAATATGGATCCTGTTGCTGTGTTGTAGCTTTACAAATAGATCAATTTACCTTATTTCATTAAGTTTTGTATACTTATTGATTCCAATAAAAGAAGCTGATTAAATAGAACATACTCTTCCTAAACTCTCAAATGAAAAGTCTTGCTTTGAAATACCAACTTCCTAAACACTTGCTGTAGACTTTCCGGCAAGACAGCTGCTGTTAAATAAAAGTTAAACCCTTGTTTTTCCCACGTTAATATCAGATGCTTTGGAAGCCTCTAAGCTACTTTCCTCTGGTAGCCAAGAGCAGATCCTTTATGTTAGGTAGGCACCATAGTAGTGATAGGTGGAACGTGGGCTCTAAGGATCTTGAGAGAAATGTCAACGAGAACAAGGGTCCTGCAGATAAAGCTGCTCCCCCTTCCCCCTCCTCTTGGATACAGGTGCCCACACATCCTGGACACCCTCGATTTACCAACAGTGCTCTGCAAGAACCACAGTCACACAGCACAGCGCTCCAGCTCGCGTGTGTGAGGACGTGGAGTCTGGCCTTACCGGCTCCATGAGCATCCCTACTGCCACAGAGAAATGAAGGGAAAGCTGCCCCACACGCAAAACGGACACCAACGCGTACCACAGTGCAGCTTGGAGTCCTCCGAAGTCTCTTCCCAGGGCTGCCCGTTGATGGTCACGTTCTCCCGCACGGCCGTTTCGAAGTTCTGCAAGACACGGGAGCGCTGCAGAAGCCCGCCCTGAGGCACAGGCAGGCAGCACCGACAGCTGGGAGGGGCTCTCCCGCCCCACCGCCCTGCCCGCGGCGCCCACCTCGGG